TGCTTTCATGGAGCTACAAGAGCAGCTTTAAATATCAATGTTCTTGTTCTGCTCTCCTAAGTCAATTTTTTTCCCCAACACTCAAGTTTAAGGAAAAGGGCAGATTTCAATCTTCATTTGAAAAAAAGGAGAGTTGGTAGGAAGTTCTACGATGTTTCAGGCCACTGAAAATATTCACGAGAAGTTTTCTAAAAAGCAAGGACAAAGGGAATTTTAAGAAGATGCTTTCAAATTGGCTGAAATTCTTTGCTTTAGTTATACATTTTGTTTATATAAAGCATCCGCCTTTTTCTGGAAAGCACTCTTCTGGCAATTGATCAATTCATACTTCTCCACACATCTGGTTATATCTGATAGTTCCAGAGAGGGTATCTGGCCCAAGCCAGGTCAATCAGAACTTGTGAACTCTTGGACAGCAGAGAGAAAACCTCAAGTGTCACTTTAGAGGCAGACTTGGGGATCTGGGCGCTGCCAGCACTTGTTTTTGATGTGTAGAGACTGGTTCCATAGAGCCGACAGCCAGAGATGGCGAGTCTTGGGATTGTACCACTCCAGGGGCCCATTCATCTTGAGGCGTACGGTGGAGACTGGCACTGACTTCACTGGTCGAGTCCTAGACATTCAGCTCTAGGTATTTTTCATGTTTCTCATTTAATCCTGAAAATCCCATGAGATAAATACCATTAGGTTCTCCCAGCTTTATAGAGAATTCTGAAGCATAGCTTGAAGGCTAAGAAACTGCAATAGCTGAGCTGGGGTTCAAACCCATGGGGTCAGACTCCAGAACCAGTGCTGTGAATCACATTATTCTTTGGTCTCTAGGCCAGTGAGCAATTTCCCTTATCAAAGCAAGTTTAGAGTTGGGTATCTTGCACTTTCAGCCAAATTATGTAATATGTATGCATTGTAGGTATACTGAGTAATACACTCATCAAAGTAATCAAAGGAATAGTGCAAGTATGTCCAAAGCCACTTTATCTTTTTCCTCAAACTTGTTTCCCTTCCCTTTCTCACTAAATGACATTTTCATCCATACAAGATGAAATGAAATCTTGGGAGTCACTCTGGATCCGTTTCTTCCCAACCTCACATCACCTCATCTTATATCCCAAACCACTTTATTCTACAAACACATATCTGGCAGTTAAAATGGACAAAACCTGATCTTCAAATCAGTCCCCTTCTCTTTATTCCCACAACTAATGCCCTAATTCATACAAATGGCCTTAACCTTCTTTAACCTTTTTGTGTCCTAGTATCTTCACCTGTAAAATGGGGTCAATCATACCTACCCCACATAGGGCATTTGAGGAAAATAAAAGTATAAAAAGCACTTAGCACAGTATTCAACAACTGTTAGTTATTTCTTTTAGGAACTAAACTCTTATATGTGCTCATGGACATTTTAATTGCTTTTATAGCAAAAACATGAACTGTAATGAAAAATAGTCTTCAGATGAATACGATTTCGTATTTTTGCACTTCTCCAAGGTGACTTTTCAACATAAATTCTTAGCACACACACACAAAACCTCACCCCTGCAAAACCCAAAAACCTTCAATCCCCTCAATTATTCTCTATTAGCAGATCCATTAGGGATTGCCCTGTATCTGAAAAGTATAGCACATTATATACTACATTCAGAATCAACTTCCTTGATTATATCAAGTCAACTTTAAGAGCTTGAAGTTAAAATATCTCTTGTTCAGTGAATATTCAAAGGTACAAATTCATTTATTCATCAGAACATGAGTTGTTATATCTTATAGATTACATACAAATACACATATTATTCATATTCCACTTCATATTAGATTCTTTTGCTTGATACACAATTTTGGTTTAATAAAACATAAAAATAATGCATACTGCAAGAATCAAATATAAGACAGCCATTCAGCCCTGTTAAAACACACACACACACACGCACAGGAATTTTAAAGTAAAATTAAGCACTTCTCTTCATTAGCCTTCTAGGGAAATGTAGCCAACATAAGCCTATGGGTGGGGTGTTTAAGACAAAACAAACCTGAGTTGTTCTTTGTGAGACGGAAAAGGAAAATATAATAAAGCCCAGACTCATGATTTCCCTACATTTTTCTTCCCAACATATATCTTCATTGCCTAGTTAATTAAGGTTCAAACTTGAAAGAATAGGAAGACAGTATACTAACAGTTACCCCAAAGGAATACTTCCCCTTACCGATTTTCTTACCTTTCACTACCATCCATGTGGTTTACTACATTAATACCTAAGTGTATCAAGTATCAAGTCCTGTTAGAACCAAGAACCAGATTTCTGGCTTATAAACAAGAGATATATAATTTGTTTTCAAACACAAAAGCAAAGCACAGGGAAGGGAAAGAGTAGTGAGGAATCACGTTATTAAAACTTCAGAGGTTTTAAAAGAAGTTATTGGTAATGGTAATAAACTGCAGGTCAAAGTGTTCCCTTCTGTTCTCAATGGTATTAAAAACGCAGGGATCTTGCCACACCAATACTTGTCCAGGTATCTGAACAGATTTCAGGCCCTTTATGAGGAAAAAAACTTCAGTTTTAAATGCTGACCAACATTTTTGTAGTGGCATATGGTTTTCTTTGATCCATAGGATTAGGCAAACTTTGTTACCCACACATGTATTTCTGTCCATCTTGGGGTAAAAAAAAAAAATCAGAAACCTTCATCACAATATCTAACAAAATCTGATTAGAGACTACTATAAAAATGACAGTGAAAATAAGGAAAATTTAAAAGACTATCCATACAACTTCAACTTCAGGATGGGAGAAATATTTTTAAACATGACAGGAAATCCAGAAGATGTAAATACTGACAAGAGTTGACCACAAAAAAATTTTTAAAAAGGTGCAATCAATAAATCATGTCAAAAAATAGACAATGGGAAAAAATATCTGCAACACAAAAAACTTAGGTGTCAATATTCTCACTACAAAAAGAAGCACCAATTAAAAATTTTTGTAAAATTGGCAATTTATAGATAAGGAAATGGAAATAGTCATTAAGCATTAAAAGAATGCTCAAAAAAGATAATAGACATGCCAAATTAAAACACAAAGCCATCGGACTGGCTAAAAAAGAAAAATCAGTATTATTTATTTAAAAGATTTTACTTGACAGAGCAAGACACAGCGAGAAAGGGAACACAAGCAGGGGGAGTGGAAGAGGGAGAAGCAGGCTTCCCATGAAGCAGGGAGCCCGATGTGGGGCTCGATCCCAGAACCCTGGGATCATGACCTGAGCCGAAGGCAGACGCTTAACAACTGAGCCACCCAGGCTCCCCTTTAAGATCAGTATTATTAATTTATAGTACAAATGGAGATAGATATAGGATAATGGTGACTACTGGGGAGAGTAAATCACTGCAAGCTTGATTTCAGTAGTACATGGGAATCTGCATCTACTTAAGTTACTACACATTATATGTAAGAACATTCACTACATTAATAGTAAAAAATGACAACCTAACCTGCTTACGGCATTTGGTTAAGTTGGGGAACCATTAATACAGCAGCTGGCTGTGCTACTGAAAAGAAGACAAGGAAACAGATTTTGCCATTAGAGTCTCGAGAAGGAATCAACCCTGCTGATACCTTTTCAGGTCAGTGAGACAAATTACAGAGGTCTGACCTCCAGAACTGATAATAAATTTATGTTGTTTTAAGCCATTAAGCTTGATGCAATTTTTTACAGCACCAGTAAGAAACATACAACATAATAATAAGGGGTAATAAAAGTAGTATGTGGACAATACCGTTTCCAGAAATGCCCTTACTAAAGTTTAAGGTGGAGGCCATCAATTTCTGGTATCAACAGGGAGTTTGGTACCACCTATGAACCCATTGTTGAGAGCAGTGCTAGGTACATAAAGAGATAAGTAATAAATAGCTTAGTATAGATAGGAATTAAAAAAAATTTTTTTAATTGAGGTATAAATTGACATATAACCTATCAGTTTCAGGTATACATGATTAAATATTTATAGATATTGCAAAATGATTTCCTTTTCTCTGTATGGATTTTGAAAATTAGTAGAAATATGTCTATCACAACAGAATCAGTCCTATCATAACTGTTTTTCAGACAGCAGTTTCAACAAACTAGATTCTAAGTATCAAAATTTCATTTTAATGAAGCAGATTCCCCTTAGGCATCCCAAGAAACCAATTTTCAATTTTGTGGAAATACATATTCTAGTAAGTTTGAAACTCCTCAGCTCAACAGATCAAAAACATGTACTCTAATGCTTTAGTGTTATTTATAAACATGAAGAGGATTCTAAGGTTGTGTTTCTACTCCCACTAGAAAGACAATCAGACAAAAAAAAGTCTAAGCACATAAAGGAATATAAAACTATTTATTGACCACTGTTTACCAGTATTTACAATAAAGTAAACAATATACAGTTGGATAACATTCTGACTACAAAGTTACTGTTTTTCCTGGTTTCTGCTGAACCAGTAACTCAAATACTGAGAAGACTGAGCCTACATGTCAGGAACAAGTTGGGGTAAAGAAAATACATGCAGGTTTAAGAATTTGGATTATTTATAAAAGTCTGTCCACCCATTTATTCCAACAGGTGCTAAATTGCCAACATCTCTAACCATCTGATTATGATTAGGTTTCCATGAACAAAGTCTTAGACATTCCATGAATCATGACCTTTTAGTCAATACAGCACAGAGATTTCAACTTCTTGAAAAGGAATGGTTCACTAGACGGAACCTTTAAATGTCCATTTAACTAAGTTTTGCTTACCTAATTAAAACACACCAGGACTTGTCTAGTTTTGTCATTTGGGTGGGAAGGTTGTTGGTGGTGATAAAATTTTCCTTTCAGGGATCTTGCAAATGAACTTGCATTTATGACTGTAGATATGAATACAGATTCTGATATGGCTGCTTTTAAATTGTCCAATTTAAAAATCTGAAAGGTTAAGGCTTCAGGAAAAACTTCAGTTTAAGTAATTTATTTCTTAAGTTGCTGAAAATGATAGCATCCCGGAAACACGGGCTTATCCATGGTTATAAATGCTGTTTTTGTTTTGGTGAATGTTAAAAAACAAAAACCATTTATGTATGTATTTAAGTATACACACAAAAACCCCCTAAATAGACAAAAAATCCAGAATGGTCCTTAGGCATATAGGAGTTAAACACAAATTCTGACTGAGTAACGACTATGAAGATTTCCCCCAACATTTAGAAAAGGTGTTCTCTAATGCAGGGGGACAATATACCATGGTCTCAAATATTTTTTTTCTGATAAAGGAAGCAACTACAGAAAGCTTTTATTTGTTCAAAGTAACCAGTGCTATAGATGCAAAAAAACCCCAACAACTCCCCCAATACTACTTCGAAACAAACATATCGAACTTGATTTTCATTAGAATGTTATTTCTTCACACTAATAAATCAAAAAACAAAGACCTGGATTTTATATATATATATAAATATATATAAAAAGCAATGCAAACAATTATTGAGCTTCATCTTCTGGACAAGAATGCCAAGTTAGTCTCTCTTCATAAAAAGCAATTACAATCTGAGGACACTTCATATTTGCCTCTTTTGCCAGCACCAAGTCTGCCTCATCTGAATCTTTCCTGTTGTGAGGAAAAAAAAGTTCAGTCAAAAGTCTCAACTGTTTTTGCTAACTGAGAATCTTTCACTTAAATCATAATTCAATCAAAAGGTATTTAAGTGCTTCAGAAGCAGATACTTGTGGCTGTGTTCCGATAACACATTTTCCAAAACAGGCTAATCTTTGCTTTAAAACACCATTAGCAAAAAAACCAAACCAAACCAAAAACCCCCAAACAACAAAAATCCTAGAATCATCCTTTCAGCAGATACTATCTAATGATGAAAACTATAAAACCTTTTCTAGATAAGGCTTCACAAATTAAAAAAAAAAAATCTACTCTTACTTTAAAATATAGTAGCGATCATCTGCACACTCACCACTTCATGAGAAACATTAATTCTCCACTGCTGTCCGTGGCACCAATTATTCGTTCAGGATCAAGACCTCTGGCAAAGCCTCTTGGTTTATCAGCCTGATTAAAAGATGTTAAATGACTCTTTACATAAATGTTTCACCGACTTTCCATATTGCAAACTAATAATAACAACTTCCAATTTGTTTTCATGAAATATAGCTTTCAAATGAAAAAGAAATGACAGGAGAAAGAACTCTTATTTAGTACTAAAACACATTGTAATTTCCATTAACCTTCCAAGAAAAAACAAATCCAGGTATCTAATAAAAGTATTCTGAATCTCAAGGCAAGAAAATAAATACCTTTCCTTATCCTAACACATCAGAAGACAGAACTGTGTAGGCACACAAATTAATCCCTTTATTTCTGCTAACTCATCAATAATTATAAATTCTTTAAAGTTAGTATTTCAAATCACTTTTAGGAATTAGTCTAAATTACCCACAAATTTTTAAAGCACACACAAAATACAAATAGCGAAACAGTAAAAACTTTGAAACTCAGACTAATCAGTATTGTAATCGATCTGTGTTATAGGAAACCTTAAAAAATACTTAACATAAACCCGTGGTTCTAAAAGTGTGGTCTGAGGATCCCTGGAGATCCCTGAGACCTTTAGTGGGTCTGTTTATCTGCAAGGTCCCCTCCCTTTCATTTATCTTTAACTTCAGAGTATCTTCATATGCCTCTACCAAACAACATTAAGACAGCAAATCAAATGCAAAATGTCTTAAGCTAGACACTGAAAAGATTTGCAAAACTGTAAAATGCCAATTCTCATTTAAAGTTATTTTTCATAAGTTATGAACATGCAATAGACTTTGTCATTCTTAACTGAATACACAAATGTTTTAGAACTTTGTTTTAATTTCTGATATAGTTAGAATTGATAGTCATAACACATCTAAATAAAAGTTCTCCGAGATTCTCAATATTCTAGAGTATTAAAGAGGTTCTGAGACCAAAAGAGTTTGAGAACTGCTTAGATTAAGAAATCCCTTCTCCCTACCAGACTTTCATATCAATATCCCAGGTTCTGGAGTCAGATTACCTGGGTTAGTTAGAATGACGACTCTAACCTTTACTGTGTGGCTTTGGGCAAGTTAACCTCTGTGGTTCAGGTTCAATAAAACAGGAATACTACTACTATCTGTCTCATGGACATTTTGTAGTATAAGAAATGCAAATTAAGTTACGTAGAACACTGCTGGGCACATTATAAGAACTCACTGTAGGGTAACTAAATTAAACAGTGCTTCTGCTGAATATATGGTTGACTTTCAATTAATGCATATGGATTCTTAACACTGTTACCTTTTTGCTTTGGCTGCTAAAGCATCCAGAACCAAATTTGTAGTCAACCTCTGCTTCTCATCTGGAAAATGGGGATAATACCTATAATCTTAGCAGACCTGCCATGAAGATTTAATAGGTTATCTGTAAACTACTTGGCATCTAATTCAGATGATCAAATTTTAAATCCAAAGACCTTATCAATGTTAGTTCCCAAGCCTAAATGCTAATTCAGAATCAAGACCTTTTCCCAAATTGCCAGCAGGCATGGTAAATAGGACAATCTGTTTTGGAGCTGAAGGTATAAGCAAGTAGTTGTATGTTTTGCCCAAAGCCACGGCAGACACATTAGTGAAGCGAAGACTGGGTCAAAATACCCATGTAGTTAATGAACCGTCTCAATTCACACCAAAAAATATAAAAAAAACTCTATTACCAAAGATTATATACTTCAAAATCAAAATGTTGCTTGGCAATATTCTGACAAAACAAAGATCACATGTGAAAGTATTCTGGTGGTCAGTGCCACTAATGGTCTATAATCAGGATGTGCTATGTGGATTGTTTTTACTGTATTGTAAGGGATTGCAATGATCTAATCTTTGTGTTCACTGTATTTAAGACTGCCAGTCCTGGATCACAGGAAATGGATTTTATCAGGGATCAAATCCACGAATCTACTCAAAATAACACTAGCACAACAATGTTAAGTGGTATAAGCACTTATTACTGAACATTTATATGATGCAGGCTAAATCATGCCTATCCTTTTTGTCCTGAATATTAAGCATTATAAAGTATTTGAATTCTTAAAATTATCTTAAATGTATTTTAAAAATCAAGCCATCAACCTTTTACCAAGTCAGTCTGCTGGGCAATATTTTATACTTACAGCATCTCTTTTCTTCTTTGATTTGCTATCATCAGATTCACTGTCAGATAAAGATTTTCTTTTTGTACCATCTTTTTCTTTACCAGCTTTTTGAGAATTAAGAAATGCTTCAATTAACTCTGGACAATCTAAATTTTCTTCAGGTTCCCAAGTATTGTCAGCACTGGGTTCGGTTAAAAAAAAAAAAATCAATTAAATATGATTCATGACCATCATCTGCATTTTAATATTTAACATATATCTAAAAAAAGGTCTGCTGTACTGCAGAGGCTTACCTTTTTCTCCCTATCCCCATTCTTTTGATAAAATCAGCTTATACTTCCTGTGTCTATTTTCTTAGCCTCTAGTAAGTGGGCAGTCTGCTATATTACCTACAAGTTAACTATACCTGCTCTAGCAGAATAATTGGAACTAATTATTTTCCCAAGTTACACAGAACCCACTTCAGAATTTCTCTGCAAAGGCTTTTTAAAAATGAGGATTCCCTACTCCCACCCTAAATTACTTTATCAGATCAGTCAGACTATGTCTCTAGTTGGGACCTTCAACACCATGTTTGAAAACACAAAAATTCTACGGTATTCTACATGTGAGGCAGTATTTTCAACTTCTGCTGGGTGCTCAAATTGGGCAATGATAAAAAGCAGGGGTTGGCAACCCAAAGGTCAAACCCAGCTTTTGTATGTTGGGCCAACTAAAAATGTTTTTCACATTTTTAATTGGGAAAAAATTTCAAAATGACAATTATAGGAAATCAGGGCCCATTTGTTAGAACACAGCCATGCTCCCTTGTTTAACATAGTGTCTAACACTATTTGCAAAGTTGAGTAATTGTGAGAGGTCTACAGCCCACAAAGCCTAAAGTATTTATTTACTACATGATTCTTTAAGGGAAAAGTTTAGCAATCCCTGATATAATGCCAAAATGATTATTTTCATGTGTTTTTCGGAAGGACTGGAAAGAAAACGAGTATCAATTACCAAACGTGAATGTTAGATAATCCTACACTAGTGATACGCTTGCTAACTTTTTTTTTAAGACTCTACACCCAAAGTGGAGCACGAACTCATGACCCCCAAGATCAAAGAACTGCATGCTTTACTAACTGAGCCAGCCAGGTGCCCTGTAAGCTTGCTAACTTTGTGCACTCTGATCCAAAAAGCCTTTAAAGAACAAGATAGAATGAAATTAATTTTAGAGATGATGGAAAAGAAAGGCAGTACTGTTTACAACTTGGGTCTTCTGATATGCTGAGATGCTAAAACTGGTCAACTTGAATCAGAGGATAGAGAACAAAAGAGTTGAAGCAGAGCCTCCATTTTGTAGTGTTACTTTAATTACAGACTCCTGTATTACCTAATACATACTGCACATAGTAGGTTCTCAGCCATACTAATGGCCTTAAGTTTGAGAGAAAGAGGAAGAAAAGGAATTAAGTATCTTTACAGTTTGACTGGCTGGACAGAGACAAACAGCATTTAATGTCTCATAAGATTCCAAAACAAACAACAAAAAACCTATCACATGAAGGTGATCAATTCTTTGGCATACTGGTTACACCTAACTTTAAAATAGTTCAGACTTATTTTGCTTTGTTCTGCTATCTGTAGGAAATTTTTCTAGTGCCAAATTATGAACTTATACTATATACTTAAGCTCAACTAAGGATACTAGAAGGATAAAATAACCTTAAATCTTCCACTTAACTTGTAATTCCCAAATTGCTATAGTGGGGCAAGTAGTAGGTAACAGATGTTCCGAAGCCTAATTATTTGACTAGCACACTCCCCCATCTCCACCAAGCTCAGAAAACCGTTGTCTATCTCTACCTATCCATTTTCAGTAAGTCACTGACCACAGAGCCTTGCTGTTTTTGTGGTATAAGGCAGACTTAGCACATAATAAATGTTAAGTATAAGACTGGAATTTCTGCATGAGTTATTTGCAATACAGCTAACATTATAAAAATTATGAGAACAATTAGTAACAAGGAACATAAAGAACTAAGGAGCTTAAAAAATGCCCACGCCACTTCTTAAGAGATTAGGATACAGTAAACCTAGTGCATCGTAGAAGTCCTGGATGATAAGCACTTCTGTTCAACACCCACCAGACTACCTTATATAGCTTCAATATTTTTAGTGTTCTCTCTATGTAAGAAAACAATGTCAATTAGATACTCTAATTAGTACAATATCTAACCACATTAAAATGCATTACATAGTAAACTGTACTCCTATAAATTTGACTCTCCAAGTCAACTAATTTCAAATGTGCTTCGTTACAACTGTAGGCTAAAAACAGGACCCTTTCAAACAGATCTCAAAGCACCCTGGAATAAAGGTGTCTTTAAATGAAAACAAATGTATGGGGAAACGGATTTTAAAAACCCCAGACTAAAAGCAAATTTTAAATGTCACTTAGGTGCAGTTAAACATATAATAGAAGCACCAGATTCCTTACTCTGTAAATCCCTTCCACTTCAGGAAATACTCCACCTTCCCATTCACTACACGTCGGTCCAGTACTTTTTCCACCACAAATTCTTCAGGCTCTGCCTCTTCTACTTTTTTACTCTTTCCATTTTGTTTCTTTCCCATTTTTTGCTAAAATAAAACAAAAGAGAGATTTAAGAAACTTTTCTTTTTTCACTTTTGCATACATTTTAAAGGCTAAATTATTTATATTATTGTTGCATCTGACACCTATATTTTTACTTCTATATCCCAGGGCGGACACGTTCTGAAAAGATAAAAGTCAACAGATAATCAAAAAGAATACTTAATTCCATTTTAGCTCAAACCTATTACCCACCCCCTTCCGCTGAAATAATACAATCAAAAACACTATCTGGAAAATACTCTTATCTTTTCCAAATCTAATATCTTACCTAGTCTACAAGACGAAGTTTACTAGAGTTTGCATTCATTTTAACTACAAAACAGCAACAAACTAAAAAGTATTAGAAGATGATACAAAGAGAGTAAATACTAATGAGACCTTATTAAGTGAACCATAGTCCCATTTAAAAACTACAGCCCCCAAACACTAACAACCCTCTTTCTCAATATAAACACCAATGTTAAAAGTCTCAATTATACAGAAAGAAGGTAAGTGCAGAATGAAAACATGGTTCAGAATCCTGAGATCAACTGTAGAGTCAACTAAGACCATGAATAGGTTAAAAAGGACACTATTATTGTTCCATAATTTCTGTATATAGTATTACAGATCACACAGAACAGAGTTATGTTGTCACTTGAAGAGGCCAAAATAATTCTCTAATGTGAAAATCCTTCTTTCTTGGTTTCTCAAGTGTTAAAATGGTAGCCAACGAAACTCACCTTAAACAAATTTTTCGATTAGTTTTTTCTTTTTTGTATTGATACTGTGAGAAAAGCCAAAAGACCAAACTAAAACCACTATTTTCCAATAACTCATGTTATGAAGACTGAAAGCAGATAAAACAAAAAACTGAAATGGTTAATTAGAAGAGACGAAGCGGGGAAAATCTCAAATGTTATGTTAATTTTAAAATAATTTCAGTGGTGCTATTAAAAAAAAAAATCTTAATTGCCTAGTCATTAAAGTCACCTCTCCACATAGCATACAAGCAGAAAAACAACAGCAGTGCCTTAAGCTTGCAAAAGGACGTTAAAATTAAAATTATGTAATTATTTAGAGGTGTACACACATATAAAAAATAAAAATCCTCTGGAATTTAAAATAACCCAGCAAATATCTGCTTTTGTTGGATACTATCTCCAAATCAGGCCTTACAATTTTTTTTCTTCTTATAATTTTCATTAGTCAAGACACCTGGGTATTGCAACCAGTCGGAGAGCTTTTTGCTTCTGTACAGTACAAGGAACGGCAGCAAGAGAAAAGAAAAACTGTTGTAGATAAAAGCCTATTCGATACTGATGCTAAATGATAAATCAGCTATGTTCATGAAAGTAAGAGATTAACAGAATAAAGAGGATAACAAAAATAAACACAAAGTGAAAAGAGTAAACACTAATAAGATAAAAAAAAACCTTAGCACAAAAAATGAAGTATTTACTATGGCACTCACAAGCTGGTTACAAGTGTTCACCTTTTTCTTTTCAAAAGAAAACTCACCCACTTTCCACCTAAACTAACAAACCTCATCTCTTAAAATTAAAAGATTAAGAAAAACTTTCAAAGTTGTCAATTTATGATCCTTTAACAAAGGGTAAGATATTTTAAGTATCAGTTAGTTATGGACACTGAAGACTCTCAAACCTGTGTGCCAAAGCAACAGAAGCATCTATGTTTGCTTCCTGTATCTCTATTCATCCTCAAAGCCCCAGGGACAGCTAGTTCCTTTTCTTTCCAATACCTGAAGGTCACAGGTAACCATACAGTCAATTCAGTTGTCTACACTTTGGTCTACCACTTACAGAATTTGAAGGACAGTTCAGTCCTGAGGGGCCACAGAAGATGCTTTGTGTTTTTTCCATTGATGGTTTTGATGGGAATCATTTGTGCCACAGAATTTGTATTTATTTCACTGTTTCCCAGAATATTTGAGTGAAACATGCAACCTCTTGATGGCAAAAGTTAAAAACCAAACTTGCCTTTTTAGTGTGAAACCCAAGGAGAGAATATACAAACCAAAAACCAAATGTTTTGCTTTATTTAGATGTTAACACTGACCTTTAATATGATTGCAATTATTGATGAAATGTGTTAGAATTACTGTGAGAACCATTAACTTTGAATTTCACGATTTTTATGTGAATATTTCAGTGTTTTCAAAAAATCTGTAACTTGATATGGCTGAAGATATGTATGTCTTTACACATTCACAGAACTTTTATTTTATTTTTTTTCAAACTTTTAATTAAGTTTAAGAATGCAAACTTGGGGTTTAAGAAAGTGTAGACGAAAATGTAATTGCTCACAAGATGCAGATCTACTATTCTGTCCTTCCTGGACATATATATGATTTTGTTTATTTGGTATTAAAAAAAAATGGCAATGACTTGAATTTAAGGCCTTTACGTATTTTACAATAATCAAGTTCGAAATAGGACATGAGCAAAGTAACTGAATGACCTTTGTCCCAATCCAGATTCTTTAAACTCAACAATACTGAAAATACCTGGATTCTCTAGAATTCGTTACAGGGTGACTTAGGGACTGTTATGCTAATGAGCAAGGGCTTTACAGCATTGTCTGTTTATGCTTGTAAAAATTCTTCCATGTTGCAAAAGTTTACTTTTATTTCAAGATAAAAATACTCTGTAAAATTCATTGTGTTATCCTCCCAAGATTAGGTTTCTCTAAATGGATTAAAACACTATTCAGCCAAGTCAATAAGTACCTCAATGTAATCATTTCGTTTTTGCCTCTAATTCTCCCCATTACAACACTGCGGGGGGGGGGGGAGGGGACTGGGAAATACATGTGGATGTAAATATCTCAACCACAGAGATGCAAACTTATAATTTTTGGGAAAAAAATTTGAGTTAGATCCTTACATATTTTAGGTTTTCATTAACTTACCAATGTAGTTTTATTGGAGGCCATTTTTTATTGCAGACTTGAAGAGCTATTACTAGAAAAATGCATGACAGTTAAAAAGTAGTTTGCACGACACAAAAAAGGTAGCTAAACACAAGTTCTGTTTGGATTCCAACCCCCACTACGTATCGTATATTGTAAAACTTGTATTCAAATCCAGAGATGCAGATTTCAGATTCTGCGTTATTAGTTATCTATGTTTGCTGAGAACATCAGTGCTCTAACCAAGTGGGTCTAGAAAACCTTACTGGGTAGGCTGGTATCTGAAGCAGTTTTACAAAGGAAAAAATAGTAAAATTTTTTTTTCAATATGTAAGTCCCGTTTATGTCATACCCAGCATTTTTAAGAAAATGGCCAGGTAATTTGGTTCAAATTCGACGAGATCACCCAATCACAACGGTAAATTATCGTGAATTTCCCCTCTAGACCTTTTAACAGTCCAAAGAGGCGCCTATAAAACCCCAACTTGGTTTCTTGGAAACCCTCCCCCTTTCTAATCGCTAGTTTAAAAACTGAAAAAGGAAAAAACCGTATTAAGATGTTTCAGTCCCATTTCGTACCACTTTTAAAAAAACAAACCACCTCTTCTATCCGCTCCCCGTAAGCCCCACCCTGCTTAGCGAGGCCTAAACACCCGGCCCCCGCCCCCCACCCCGAAGCGCGGGCCTCGTGGTCAGCCCATCCGCCGGGAGAAACAAAGGCCGCGGCCCCGGGGCTCAAGGGCACTGCACCACCGGGCCCGCGTTGTGTCCCACCCGGCGGTAGCCACGTAACGGAGCGCCCGCCGCAGCCTCGGAACAGCGGGCCGCGCTGATGCGGGAGAACGCACCGCCCTCACTGGAGGCCCAAGTCGCCCACCGAGGCCGTGAGGGGGAGGAGGGCCCCTCATCTTGATCGCGGATGGGGGAGGGGAAAAGGAAACGCGCTTTGTCTAGAAATAAGGCGGCTCTCGCCACAGCTCTCTACCCTCTCGAAGACAGTCTCGTTCTCCCCCTCCCCCACAACTAACTCCAGGCGCCGGCCCAGCGCCAGGCCAGCCGCGGGGTCTCCGCTCGACTCTCCGCTGCTTCCCGCCAGCTCCCCACTCGGGGTCGGGCGGGGAAGGGCGGGAAGCAGGGAACTGGGTGGGGGGATCCCTGGGACGCAGGTGGTATTTTAAGCACCACCACCGAGTAGACAGAAAGAGAGAAAGAAAGACACCGACTTCACCGCCTCCGAGCTGCTCCGGGTCCCGGGTCTGCGGCGTCTCCGGCCCTGCGCGCCTCAAGCTCCAGCCACATCCGAGGAGGAGGGGGCTGGGGAGCTGCGCGCCGGGCAGCCGCTCGAGGGGGGGTGGGGGGGGGTGGCACCGCCCACGCCGGGCGGCCGCGAGGGGCGGGGCGGGCGGGCGCGCGCGCCCGGCGGGGGGAGGGGCCGGTTGCCGCGCCCGCCGGGAACCCGAGCCCCGGGCAGGTGGAGGGCTGCGTCAACGCTGCACTTACCGTTCGCGGCGTGGCGCCTGGTGGTCCCCGGAGGGGAGGGAGAGGGAAGTTGAGGCGAGGACAGTAACTGATCTTCTAGACGGAGGCGTTTCTGCTTCGCAGCAGCCGCGTCTGGCGCCAAAACCGGGCTCCGCCCACTTCCTCGCCCCTAGAAGTGGGTGCCTCCAAACGCTAGGGGTGAGGGAGTGAAAAGAAACTTGCATGGGGAGAATTGGGAGCTAAGAAGGAGTGCCCCTCTGAGACCACCCTCTCCAAAGACCTCTCTTGAACCCAAGGAGTCGACTCCCAAAGACGTTGGCCAGGGTTAGGTTGGTGGAGCGTGAAGTGTAACGTGTTGACTAGAAATCGCTTCGGGTGTTTCCGGAAGGGGCCGAGTCAGTCCTCAGCGCTGGGGGGAGAATTAGGGGAGGGAAATCGCAAGGGGGAGGTTGCAAAGATTATTCTGGCGGGAGCTCGGGGGCGGGGGGAAGCGCGGATTATCACAGGCTTTGCTGCAGGGACCACCTCCCGGGTTGAGGGGGCTGGACTTTAGGACTGTGCTTTAAGCTCCTCCCGACAGCGTTAATTTCAAACTGCGCGACCGTTTCTCACCTGCCCTGCGCTAAGGCGGGGGCTGGACCCAATTCCGTGAGAGAGAAATGCGCAGGACTCGAGCCTTCCGCAATTCACTGAGACCAGTTACGCAAGTGACGTCAAGCATTACTACTGGCTGCGAGGGGAGGGAGGAGTACGTACCTGGCGTAAGGAGGGCGTAGAGCGTTCCCGCCATTGGCGGCGGTTAGGACGTTTACGCAACGGCTTGACGTAGGGGAAGACGCGTTAGTCGGGGGGAAGGTTCTAGAAAAGCGGCGGCAGCGGCTCTAGCGGCAGTAGCAGCAGCGCCGGGTCCCGTGTGGAGGTCCTCTTAGCGGTGTTGTTTCTCGAGCAGCGGCAGTTCTCACTACAGCGCCAGGACGAGTCCGGTTCGTGTTCGTCCGCGGAGATCTCTCTCATCTCGCTCGGCTGCGGGAAATCGGGCTGAAGCGACTGAGTCCGCGATGGAGGTAACGGGTTTGAAATCAATGAGTTATTGAAAAGGGCATGGCGAGGCCGTTGGCGCCTCGGTGGAAGTCGGCCACCAGCCTCCGTCTGAGAGCGGCGGTGAAATTGGGCCACTTCAAAAGCGGTTGGTCTCAGGATATTTTTGAAGAGGGTTCGTTAGCGGAGGCTTGACTGAACAGTATCTTCCCCACCCTCAGCCTGCCGGCGCCATTTCCCTTTGCTGGGGGGGTGGGGGATGGGGAACTTCCACATGGCGGACGCAGCCCTCGTTCGGCGAAAAGTGGGGCGCGGAGGCGGGAATTCTTACTCCCTCTTCAAAGCACGCTGATTTGGGGGCCCTGGCGTCCCCGCTTCTGAGCTTTTCGGCGGGCTTCAGATCTTCCTGAGCGAGGCTGCGGAGTTTCCCCTCCCCCCTCCCCTCTCCCGGGAACCGGATTTGGCGGCCGCCATTTTCATTCCTTTCCTTCCTCGCAGCGTTTTTCTTTTCAATTTCTGGATTCTGCTAGTTTGACTACTTTATCGAAGAATAGAAGTGGTTAACTATTTTTCTTTGTTTTCGGGCTGTTTTCATGCCGTTTCGAGGTGGATTCCGAGGGTTTTGTGAGCTTGGATCTTTAAAAGTCCTGCGCACCTCGTCAGAGGCTCTTTCCTTTCCCCTCGATGAAATGGCGCCATTGCGTTCAGAAGCCACACCGAAGAGCGGGCGGGTGGGGGAGTCGGTTCCCCGGGGCTGGTTCGCACGGTTAAGAGGAGGAGGTAAAACTACCACCCCGGGTGTCGGGCCCAGTTTTAAGTCGAGCCATACTGAGAACATTTTGTTTTTCAGCCTCGTGGGTTTTTTTGAGTAACGGTTTTATTTGGGTTTGCGGTGATTAAAAAGCTAGTTGAATCGCGGGAAACTTTAGAAATAAAAATTCGGAGGCATTAAGTTAGTACTGACTGTGGGTGGCAGTGGGGAAGGTGGTTGGGAGGGGTGTCGGTTTCACAATTCTTTATTTTCCTGAAGGATTTCTTTTGAACTGGAGAATTCATATTTCACTATTTTTGCTGGGAAACAGTCTTTACTGGGTAACACCAGAGGTTCTTGCGGTACAGTAGAAATTAAGAGGAAAGTGAAAAATGATTTTATCTTTAGCTCTTTGGTTAAAACGTGGTGCAGTGCTTCGTTACGAGTAACGGCTGGGCCACTATGTATTTGAACTTTGTCATTTGCTTTTCTCATCTCTGTTTGCTATGATGGTTGATCATTACATTGCTAAGAATAAGGTCTCAAGCGAAGGGGGCCTGATTGGGTACTTTCTTTGACCTTAAGCACACTTATAAAATAACTTTGTAATCGATAGTGGACATCGGGTAAGTTTGGAAAAAAATTGAGGTAAGTAATGAGTTTTTGCCTTTTGTTAGCGATGTGTAAAAATTACTGTAAATGTTTTTTTTAACTGCGTAATGTGGATTGTAAAAGACCGACTTAACGCTAATTAGATAAATTAGCTTAATTTAAATACCAATATGTCAAGTAATCGTTATTTGAGTTATTTGAATGTTTTAGGAGCTTGATAGTTTTTTGACCTTTGAAAATTTTTCACAATTCTGAGAACTGTGCAGGGAAAAAAATCTAAATGCTTACTGTTTTTTGAGCTGTTCGGAAATTTCATGCATAGAGGAAGAAACCTCCAAAGAACTGAGTTAGAAAGCTGTAATATATTGTTTATGAAGTATTTTCTGTTGTATGGGAAATGATATTTGGGCTTTGATTTGTATTACATACATAATAGTTGCTCCTGGACGTTATGACCGATTCTGGTTTCTGAATATTTTAATTTTTTTTAACTTAGTTCTCTGAAAACAAAGTATAACCTGTTTTTTTCCTAACTGACAGCCGAAAATACAGGGCTGTTAATGCAACATGCTTGTTTGGTGGTTTATAGGGCTTAAAATTTTTCAGCCCATGTCCCCCCCCCCCGTAAAATTAGAGACATTTGTGTTGTGTATTTTGCCAGGTGGCCATTAAGGCCAGTACACCTGAGTTTTTGTGGGTGGTTTTTTTTCTTCGATGAAGTGTAAATTGTAGTAGTACAAGACTACTGAGTAGTTAAGTGATCACTTAAAAGTTTCATGGTTTTTGAAAAGTGAGATTATAGCAAATATTTTACTGCATTTATGGTTCAGTAATAATTCAGATTGTTCTGTGTTCTGTAAATACCAAATATAAGGGTGCCCTCAAAAACAGGTATGTTAAAAACTGTTGAAGCTCTAAACACCCACCGTTGGTCATAAAAGCCATTTGTGCCTTGGTTAAAGGAAAGAGGCAGATTTTATAAGGATATTTTGGTATTATACATTGAATGTTTTAAGTCCTGTCCCCGTCCTGTCCCGCCCCCCCCATGGGGAGTTGGTGTATGGGGAAAGAATGATTTTTTTCTTAGTGGTTTTTTTTTTTTTTAAATTGAGATACATGAGAATCACCACCAGAGGGAGCAGTAAAGGGAAAAGAAATGTCACTGTTTTAGACACTGAATCCTGAAATGGTAAATCCTGGGTTATCAGTAAAGTAACAGTTTTTATGTTAAAAAGTGGTGTATTTACAATGCATATTTAAAAGCCAGTTACTTTGTTTCGGGCAAAGGATTGAATGCAAATTTTGACAAAAGTCCTTTAAGGGTTCAATGACCAAAGAATAGGTTTATTTCCTTCTCTTCATAAAGTTTTAAGATAAAGGGATGTTAAATTTATTCAAAATAATTTAATGTCAAGTAAATTTAGATGAAGCATTAATGACTTTGAAACTTATGTAGATCAGCTGGGGCAATTTTTTTTGGTGTAACACAACTAATATGCAGTTTAACATATGGTTTAAATTTGATGTAAGTTTTTTTTTTCCCCCCAGAAAACTTTAGAAACTGTTCCTTTGGAGAGGAAAAAGGTACTCTGCCAGCAGGTCACCTCATATTTAAGAATTTAATTTCCTGCATACAAAGAGGAAATGTAAATAAAAATTGAAATGGTGTTTTCCTTTGCAGAGAGAAAAGGAACAGTTCCGTAAACTCTTTATTGGTGGCTTGAGCTTCGAAACCACAGAAGAAAGTTTGAGGAACTACTACGAGCAATGGGGAAAACTTACAGACTGTGTGGTATGTTACATAAAAGTGCCTACAGATAACTAGTCTTTTCAACTGTTGGGCTACTGTGTTTAAGATGTCGAGTAAAATGTGAAGAAAATTATTTTAATGTCTGTGTTCATTGTGAGAACTGCTAGTCTTTTAAAGTTTCCCCTTTGGTTTTAAGGTTATGAGGGATCCTGCAAGCAAAAGATCAAGAGGATTTGGTTTTGTAACTTTTTCATCCATGGCTGAGGTTGATGCTGCCATGGCTGCAAGACCTCATTCAATTGATGGGAGAGTGGTTGAGCCAAAACGTGCTGTTGCAAGAGAGGTGAGCAAATATAACTGTGTAATAAATATGAAGGATATTTTGTTCCTCTGAAGATTAGACTAACATTTGAAAGAATTGTTTCCTATCTTTTTAAAGCTTAGTTTTCTATTTTTTTTTTAGATTTACGTGTTTTTTTCAAAAACTTGGTTCTTAGTAGTAAGCTGTTGCTTTACGTGATATAGGATAAAAGCTATCTTTGGTACCCAGATAGTGCGCTTTAAATCGTGTTTGGTTTCTTCTGTTAAGATATTTTTTCTCCCATTATTTCAGGAATCTGGAAAACCAGGGGCTCACGTAACTGTGAAGAAGTTGTTTGTTGGTGGAATTAAAGAAGATACTGAGGAACATCATCTTAGAGATTACTTCGAGGAATATGGAAAGATCGATACCATTGAGATAATTACCGATAGGCAGTCTGGAAAGAAAAGAGGCTTTGGATTTGTTACCTTTGATGATCATGACCCTGTGGATAAGATTGTGTGTAAGTGTCTGTAAGCAGTAGGTGTGTGGCTTTTTATAAGGTTTTGGGTTTGTTGATTTTATTAAAAGGTAGATTGTACAAGTTGCTTACTGATAATGTTGATATAATGGAGTGTGAACTTTTCATTGCAGTGCAGAAATACCATACCATCAACGGTCATAATGCAGAAGTAAGAAAGGCTTTATCTAGACAAGAAATGCAGGAAGTCCAAAGTTCTAGAAGTGGAAGAGGAGGTAACTCTTAACTCCTCTGTTTATTTTTCTTTTTAAAACTTATTCGAATAAATGCTTGTTACTAACCTGGGCATTTACTACAGGCAACTTTGGTTTTGGAGATTCTCGTGGTGGTGGTGGAAATTTCGGACCAGGACCAGGAAGTAACTTTAGAGGAGGATCTGGTAAGTTGGGAGTTCTAAGTGTTACTTAGAAGGGTGCATGTGCTCAATTAAAAACTGTTTGAATTAGATTCAGGAAATCCAGTCAATTCTTTAAAGTTATTTTAAGACTTAAGTAGATTGTATTTTGGTGGGATATTCTAAATTAGCCAGGTAGGAAGTTATAGTTAAAAACGTAATCTTACAAATTGTAATCCAAGATAATCAGTTGCAGAGTTTCTTTTTTAGGGGTAGTCAGCTTTAAAAAAAAAGTTACATCACATTGCAACTAGCTTAAAAAATGAGTGTGCCCTTCAATGGGAAGTGAAGATATTGTGGAGGCTTTGTGTATAGACTGTAAGAGATCTGTATCATATTCTTTTAGGCTTCAGATATATTTGAATAATGTAATGAGGTGCCAACAGAGAAACCTGCTGCCCCCACGCAGTGTCATTCTTATGTATAAATAAATGGAATCTCTTAAAATTTGAGTCTTGCCAAGTCCAAGCCCTTAAATTAGACAATTATCCTTGAGAGATTTAATGACATTCACTTTCATATTTTTTAAATTTTTTGTTAATCACTGTACATTATATCGTTAGTTTTTGATGTAGTGTTCCATGATTCATTGTTTGTGCATAACACCCAGTTCTCCACGCAGAACGTGCCCTCTTTAATACCCATCACCAGGCTAACCCATCCCCGCACCCCAACCCTTTCGTATTTTAAGAAGAAATTTAGTGACACCACTCTTCTAGCACAAGGAGGGTGGTTCCTAATAATTTTCATTCAGAGGTGCTAATAAAGAATGCAGAGGAAAGGATTGTAAGAAGTTATAGCTAGGGTGAACAGGGTATAATTTTTCTTTTCTGTCTCTAACAGATGGATATGGAAGTGGTCGTGGATTTGGGGATGGCTATAATGGGTATGGAGGAGGACCTGGAGGTCAGTTTTTTCTGCATTTTAGTTTGTGACTTGAAAGATTAAAGCACTATATGTTTTTGTATAGTTATCTGTATACATTAATTTTTAATGTTTTGCATTTGTAAAGGGCTTAGGTGGTAATGGTTTATTTGGCTATTTCTTTATAATTTGCGTCTTTGTATATCATTTGGAAAGAGGTGTAGATACCAGTTGCAAAATCATTTAGAAGGATTTTAATAGAGAAATCAAAGATGCTGTCATGCTATCCCATTCATTGTTTGTCAAGCAAAGAATTTAGTCTAGATGTATTCTATATGCTGTTTTCCTGAAAAACAGACCACTAGATGTGATCATGGTAAACATGTAAGGGGAAGAATATATAAGATCAATTGTTACCTTAAAATTAGTCCCTTACCAAGATAAGTCCCCTGGGGTAATTTGTTTAAAAAAGAAAAGGTAACTGAAAGAACTTCCTAAAATACACAATTGTACAATTGTATTCTTGGGACCAGCTAAAGTTGTGAGCCACTGTTCATAACAAGTGATGTATTAGATGTATGTTCTTTTGGAGTACAGAAAAGTTAATACTTACAAAAGGCCTCTTAAGAACGGGATATTAAAAACTGAGCTAGTAATAGACTTGACTGCTGGTTTTGCCACTCTTTATAAATAAGTTTAATCTTATATCCTATTTCAGTTTTGTTTGAAATCCAAATACTAATTTGGTATTATGAGAAAGACGAGGTCTTTTATTTCAATAATTGAAGACTGCCATTTTAAGTTTTTGAATTACATGCGAGTTTGCTAATTTCTGGTCCTCCCCCCATTTCTACTCAGAAAAAGGGTGTAGGGGGCATATTATTTAAGAGACATGGGAATTTATGGGGAAACAACGTTTGGAACTTAATCTTTTGGACCAGTAGGGGTGTGTGGCTTTTTTTTTGTCCTACCCTATGCCTCTTGTCTGCCCCCACAGTCCTCATGCAAAATACAAATGTTTCAAGATATCTTCAAGAGAATCTTTAACATTTTTGCTGTCAGGGGAGAGCTGTGGCATTGCAAGTATTTGTCTCTGTAAAGGTGTTTATCCAGTTAAACAGGTGCTCCCTTCCCCTAAATGTTTACCAAGGATAGGTATTCTGTTCTGCCCTTGAGGCTGTTAAGAGATTTCATAGAATAAATATTTTGTTTATAAGAATGTGTTTTGGAAAGCTGGAAATGGGTGTGATAAGACAGTTCAAATACCATTGAAAATATTAAGTAATTACTTAAAGGCTTATTTTATAATAGGTGGCAATTTTGGAGGTAGCCCTGGTTATGGAGGAGGAAGAGGAGGATATGGTGGTGGAGGACCTGGATATGGCAACCAGGGTGGGGGCTACGGAGGTGGTTATGACAACTATGGAGGAGGTAATAAATTCACCTGCAACCTTTATGTGGGAATTTGGATTGGAATTAATGACTTTTAACAGATGAGATTTTGCATTTCAATGTTGTCAATAGTTCTATTAAAAAAAATGTAGAGTTGTAGATAGGTGTCTTGCGTTTATTCTGATGATTGTTTTTGTGGGAGATTTGTCCTAAATATGCTTATTACCATGTTTCACTGGTTTAATGCATGAATATGTTATTTTGAAAGTTATTGTGCAAAACCTACTCCAATTTTTTCACAGGAAATTATGGAAGTGGAAATTACAATGATTTTGGAAATTATAACCAGCAACCCTCTAACTATGGTCCAATGAAGAGTGGAAACTTTGGTGGTAGCAGGAACATGGGGGGACCATATGGTGGAGGTAATTTATTAAATTTTGTGATTAAAGAATACTCTTTCATGACTTTAAGAATGGAAGACATCCTGATTGCTAGTTTAATACTTCCTTTGTAATTCAGTGTTAATTGAAATGGTGGGGATATTCAGTGGTATAAAATATTTAGGACTTGGCGAAAGTAAGACATTTCAGGTGGGGATCTTTTTCCTTCGCTAATTGCCTTAAAAAAAAAGCCAAAGAAGAGCACATTGCAAGGTGTATAAAGTTTTAGGAATTCTGTCTTTGAAAGTTAATTGAATAAAAATTTGGGATTATTTACTAAATGTATTATTTAAGGTTTTGAGAAAGTTTGTAGTAGTACTAAATCAATGTTTTGCCTCTTATGTTTGCTTTACGTTTTTTTAACCCTGTACTGACTCCAATAATTGTGGTAGACAACCCTATAAAGGAATAGCAGCAGTAACATGTTCTCAAGTGTAAAGGGCAAAATTAAACTTTCTGTGAGTTTGGATAATTGATCTCCCAAGTTGTAGGTTAACTATAAGCAAATAACAGGTTATGAGCTGTGTGTTTCGATGAATGTAAGTCTATAAAATAGAAATCAGCTATAGATAGTATTAGGCTTATTATGGAAAATGGAAGTAAGCTTGCTTTTTCTTGCTGTTTCAATGATTATAGGAAACTATGGTCCTGGAGGCAGTGGAGGAAGTGGGGGTTATGGAGGGAGAAGCCGATATTGAGCTTCTTCCTATTTGCCATGGGTAAGTAGCTTTTGAGTTTTACATTATTATTGTCTTGGGAGATCTAGCTGCCAGGAGTAAAAGCTTTTTAGGATCATGTTATCTTTCCTTAAAATCTGGTTAGATGGATAATTTCATAACCTATTTTTTTTTTACTCTTTACTTCTGTTGAAACAGGCTTCACTGTATAAATAGGAGAGGATGAGAGCCCAGAGGTAACAGAACAGCTTCAGGTTATCGAAATAACAATGTTAAGGAAACTCTTATCTCAGTCATGCATAAATATGCAGTGATATGGCAGAAGACACCAGAGCAGATGCAGAGAGCCATTTTGTGAATGGATTGGATTATTTAATAACATTACCTTACTGTGGAGGAAGGATTGTAAAAAAAAAAAAAATGCCTTTGAGACAGTTTCTTAGCTTTTTAATTGTTGTTTCTTTCTAGTGGTCTTTGTAAGAGTGTAGAAGCATTCCTTCTTTGATAATGTTAAATTTGTAAGTTTCAGGTGACATGTGAAACCTTTTTTAAGATTTTTCTCAAAGTTTTGAAAAGCTATTAGCCAGGATCATGGTGTAATAAGACATAACGTTTTTCCTTTAAAAAAATTTAAGTGCGTGTGTAGAGTTAAGAAGCTGTTGTACATTTATGATTTAATAAAATAATTCTAAAGGAAATTGTGTAATTATAGACTTTTTATTTTAAATAAGTTAAGGAGTGGGTAGTATAATTAAGGTCCATTGCAAAGCTGTTGTTATATTTGTGTAAGATAAATGCTGGTCAGATGTAAGTGTGTTGTCTGCAATTCATCAGGATTAAATTATCTAGATAACTTAAGGGATATCTCTGCAAAGAGAAACACCTTTTTAGATCTTTTAGATGCTGCTTCTTCAATGCAAGGAAAGGAAATAACCCCAGCGAGGTACTCTTCAGGGATACAGGTCTAGTACAAGAGAACTCTTGACGGCTACTAAGTTCAGCCAGTCTTAAAAAACTGTGCTGTTTCTACAAAGCTTTAACTACAGTAGTTTATAAGGATGACAACGAAAGCTGAGGGTGTAGAGCAAAATAGTTCTAAGCTTCAGTTAAACTTCTTTAGGTAAGATCTTATTTACTTTTCCTTTCTTAATTTTCCTCCCCAAAAGATAAACTAATACTACTCTTCAATGGCCTTTCAGTATAGCGGTTCTTACGTAGCTTAACATAGTATAAATTTGAGTTTAACAATTTATAAACTCAAGAGAATAATCTTATAAACCCTGTTTTCCAATCTGTCATTTACTTAAATTATTTTGGTTGTTTTTCCCCCCCCTTTTTTTCCTTCTTTCCCACCCCCCTCCCCCTCTATGAAGATTCAGGTGCTTAACATATCATTTTTTTCCCTGCTGGAATTTTAGCATTGATATGAACCATGGACAAGTATATTCTGCTGCCACAAAGACTGTAAAGTGCTTCATTTCAACAGCTGAGGCGCAAGCCAAGTGATCATTAATAAAGCTTTTCTTGGTTCCTTCAGTGGTGTTGGTAGTAAAATGGTAGGTAAAAGTTAGGCTGCAAGTTGAATAAATCATGAAATTACCCATCATTACACCCTTGTGTATTCACGTCTCTTGGATCAAGCATTTTGAGTGAACTAGTGGTTTTTATTAAAAATAAAGACATTTTGTTCTTCTGTTATATGGTTGTTCTAGCTTTACATGCTTATCAGGATCAGGCTCAGGAGAAGGTAGGGTAAAATGGTTGAAACTATTTCCAGATGATAGTTTATACTTAACAAATAAAGTGTCTACATTATAAATCCTGTATGTATCCAGTACTAAATATTTGGGTTTAAATGTGGTAATTCTTTCCCAACCCCCTACCTTATAGGAGAGTTGTAGGTTGGCTGCTGAAATTCTTAAATGTCATCAGTTTGATTTGCCATCAGTTTGATTTGCCTGGCTTTATTGCCTTTTCAGGAATGTGATAATCAGGGCATATTCTACTGTATGCACCAGTGAGTCTTCTTTGATCCTAAGACCACCACTGAAGTTATTTAGGTTCTTTGGACAAACATGATAAACTTCTTCAGATACTTTTTTTTTCCTTTGGCAGGAAGGTGTCTTGCTGCAGGTAACTAATGAAGAAGTGGTCAACCACAGAGTCTTCAAGAAATAAGAAATTCTGTACCATCTGAAAGTAGTTCTTGTTGGTGCCTTCATTTAAAAAAAAAAGCACTTTAAGTTTAAAGGGAAATGTTTTCTGATAAAATACAAACTTCATTTAGTACAGGTTCTTAATATAAAACAATTACAAATTGAGTATTGTTTGTAAAAGAGTAACATCAAGTAAGCTAGAGAGAGAAATGTATCATGTTTTAAACTAGGTTTTGTGAGTAGACAGATAAAAATTCTATTTTAAATATAAAGTTTATAAAATAAACACTTTTGTATTTAAATATTTGGTGTAATGTTTACACATAAAATGTGTGAATCTTGTTCTATAAACATTCAGTTGTCTAAAAGATTGCCATCCCCTAGATTTTTAAAGCAGTTTCACAAAGCTATGCATATTGCCATTTTTCTTTCAGTATTGATAGTCAAATAAGAAAAGCATTGTGGACATTATTGGCTGTCCCTAATAAAATGCCATTCTTTATATACTGTACATTCAGCGTTTGAATACTGCTCTAGTTTTCTGGCTTTACCTTGTATGTTTAACATTGCTGGTGGAGTTGTTGCAAGTATTTTAAACAGTGGTCCCAATTAAGTGCAAAGCACTGAGTCTGTCGTGGTAGCTTCTCAAATGTCAATTACCTTTATATGCCTTCTAACTGAGTTTCAGTGGTTGTCTTTTTAAAGGTTTAAATATGGTGGAGAGAATTTAACAAGCAGTGGCTTTCTTGTATATATTTACCTGAAACAACGAAAGATAACAGGAAAGATACATAGTAAAAGTTGATTTAATAACTTTGTTTTGATAATGAGGTATCTCACAGGTAAGTCAAACTGATGGTTAACAGAAGATGAGCTAAGCTGTTACTTAAAGTAGATACGTCTATCTGTAAACTTAAGAGTACTTAAAAATAAGGTAAATATTTGAAGGTTTTAAAAAATGCGGCTCTACCAAGAACTCAGACTTAAAGGAGGTAAATTAAGTTGATGTATGACAACACACCCTGAAGTACGCAACCCTTAATCAGGACAAATTTTAAGAAAATTCAATACACAATAGGCTGAAATGAACTGGCTTATTGCAACTTAAGGTAATGTTGAATAATCAACATAGGCATTTCCCTTGTGTGTATGTTGTATATTGAGCTGTTAATTTCTATTAAAACTTCAGATTTAAGGTAGTTTGTAAGTTTTCTAAACGAAGGAAATAACATTTTTTTGCATATGTTGCTGCATTATGTCACTACATCAGGCTTAACCTTTAACCTCAATACTTAGAAATTTGGAGCAACAATGAATTTGTTACTTTACATAGTATTTGCAGGTCAACATCTTGGAAACTTAGCTGTGTGATTTTTGCTGAAGCTCAAGGTTGCAGTTAGGAAAAACTTGACTAGGGCATGCTGACAGGGTTGGCAAGTTGGGGCTGGCTATTCCTTTTCCCTATACTGAGCAATCAAAACCCAATAGAATCAACATTTGGAAGTGTAGTACCTTGTATTATAATGGTCACAACATGTGGATGGAAGGGGTTTATTTCTAGGATTACTGAGAACCTAGCATCATTGGGAGCCATATTGAGGGCTGGCTTCCACATTAGAGTGTTAATCTTTACTGGAAGTTTCTGAAACTGGTTCGTTCTATCGCGTTTTTAAATAACTGGTGTATGGATACAAGCTAAGGTGGTCTAAAAGGGATTATAACTATTTTGTACTAAGTGTTTAGAGTACTGAGTTAATTTAAGGAAACTTGGAAAGAATCCTGTTTCTCAGTAATGACATTTACTAGTTCACAAGTGTGGGTTCCTTTCCAAAAAGGTAGAAAACATCCCAATATACTAAAAACAGATACATTCTTGGCAAAATTTTATGTAAATCTGATCTTTTGAGCTTTGGAATGACTGGGTGGTTGATAGACCCCACTCAGTTTTAATAACCCCTGTTTACTACTGCGCCGATCACATAGATGTAAGAGGTTTTTTGGTGACTGGGGCAAACTAGTGAGGTGAGTAGACTATCCAAGAAAGGGGCAAATTCATTTCTTTGAAGATTATAGAAGGGGGAAAAATTAAGACTGATCCCAACTATAAAAAGGTTTTAAGTCCTGATACATGCCCTATGTAGGCTGACATTTTGTTCTGAGGCTTGAATGTGTGCAAATGGGTTTTCTGACTGGTATATTCCAAAGGTCCTTGCTGAACTGAAACCAGCCTTTAGAGGGATCCAGACATTTTTTAGTACATGTTGCATGGAGATCATATACACTTGAAAATCTTAATTTCACCTGTAAGGTGGTTTAACATGGATACCTGTTGATGGTTACTTGTGAAATATGAAGGCTTTATTTGGAAAAGGACAAATGAGATGCTGAGAATCTGGCTGACCAACCAGATTTCTTTATAATTGGAGGAATGACTTCAGGATTAACAATTATTTTCCATAGGTAAAGAAGGTAAGACTAGTTTCCTGTTGGGACCAATTCAAACTGGGATGTAAATTTGGGCCTATCCACTGCAGATTCAGGAGGGAAAAGAGGGGTACCCACCAGAAAATGTAAAAGCAGCTAAGAGTTAATTAGTTGCCTAAGAGTAAGCATTACTGATCTCAGCTGTCTTAAGTCTTACTGATCCCCTTGAAATTTGCATTGGTAAACCCTATACCAAATGCTTAGGAACAGAACACACTGGGGGTATGAGGACACATGCACCTTCCTTGAAACCTTACTCTGATAAAGCTTCTCAGTACAACAGTCTTAACTGCATAACCATGTCTTCGCTGAGTGAGCAATTTGGTTCAGGTTCTACCAAGCAAAGTGGATACAGCTTCAGTGAGAACTTTTTGAGATTCTGAACATGGTCAGTTTCTACAATCTGAAGCTGAATAGATCAGATTTCTCCTTTTCTGTAACCTTTCTGAACTCCAGGAAAACGTTTTAAGACCACTAGCTTGTAGAACATTTTAGTCATCCTTCAGGTGTCCATTACATTCCTAATCAGCAAGGGGATTTAGACTAATCTTGGCAGTGGGATTTCCACTGCTGAAACTGGTATGAGAGTAAGCAGCTGAAGTTGACATGCTTCGAGGCCAGATTTTCCTTTGGAAGTTTGGTGCATTTACCTTTGGTCACAATGCACCAAATACCTTCCAGATTAAAACTAAACTATTTTAAGCTTCGGTTACTGTGAATGTCAAAATTTTAAGTCCCTGTTTTAAGGTCCCTATCCATGTTTGATCCTTTGGTGTATAGTTCCGTTGTGGTGCTTGATATTTTCAGGGATTTGAGGATAATGCACTGTCGGAAGTGTTAACAATTGGGTAGATAAGGCTACTTGTAGGTAAGGTAGTACTGTGGAAGTTTAAGTTGTAGATTTGAAGTAATTTCTGGGCACTACAAAACTGACTAGAATAACTTGTCTAAAAGCATTTTGTTGAAAGTCTAGTTGAAAGAAATACCTACCTAGGTTCAGTTTAAAAGCGTTAATAAAAATTAGACTCTGAAGCCACTGCATTTCTCTAAACCAAGGTGGTACTCCTGTGATACCCTTTGGTGTAGACCATTATGACAACATCGACTTATTTTAATGTTGCCAAACCTTGAACATTTTCAGAAAATTATCTTCAGGTTGCTGTTGAAATAAGCTCATTGAGCTTTCATTTCAAATGCCACTATTTCTAAGACCATTTAGTTCATTTTCAAATCCACTTACTCTGTTTTTGCCTTTTTAAAGCATTTGAGTCTTTCATGTGGTTCCAATTATTCCAGGTTTTATTTGGTTGTAAAGCCCATACTCTACTGACTCCCCCTTTCCCCTACTGTTGGCTTGTGTTGCTTGTAATGTTTTCACATGAAGTTATTATGTTGAGGCCTTTTGGGGGAGAGATCCATGTTTAGATGTGCAAGCATTTCTGCAGGCTGGTTGAACTTGCTAGGTAGGTCTGTTTCTCTCTATGCAAGTAGCTGTGTCTACTTAAAAGAGGCAAACCTGTGTAAAGGTCTTTGTCCTTAGACATGTTTTGAAGCCCCAATGTTCCTTGGCACCTTGGTTTAGAAGTTGGGTAAGTTGAAGGGGTGACTGATCAGACTTAAGCCTAATTTTTGTGCAAATACTAAAACCCACACTATGCTGCCCTGTTGGCTATGTATATCACCTGTATACCTGAATGTGGGTTTTGTGGAGAACAAATATCCAAGATAAATATGGTTAGAATTTCTATATAAGAAATTTTTATAAATTCAAATACAAAATTTGTTTCCACAGAAAGTTGTAAATTAAGTATTCATACTAAGACTCCATATAGTCAGTGCTAAAATACTTAAAGCTAAAAGCTAAATTACATTGCATTTCAAGTCACCAAAAAAAAAAGTGGCAACCAAGTGACGACTGTCCTGTCAGGAGTCCTGCGTATAATGCAGTCGGGCTTCATGAAAAGTTGTGGCTTCCCCAAAACTAACCACAAATTTGTCCAAAAGCTTCGAAATGTAGCCCTGAGTGATTGAAGTAGCAGTAGTAAAAGATAAGTACTTAAAGCCAAACTTTGAAGAAGTTTCAGTGGTTTGTGGCTATGTACCCGTTTGATAACCTTATACATCTTAATGGAATCTGTCTATAATTTCCTCACTTTCTTTTTCCCTTACGGTTTTCTTTTTTGTGGCCTGAGGTTGCCAGTTCCTTAGGTACAATCAAAACACTTCCATCTTGGCTGCACTGAAGAACATACTGGTTTGGATTGACTGGCCTACCATCATCATCTCTTAACCTACTAAAAATATCATGATAAAGGTCATGCAGTTTTTGTTTCATTGTGTTAATAGCTTTGTTATACTGGGCTCTTTCTCTCTTAAGGATTTCTTTCTTGGCTTGCAAGTTACATAAATCGTCTTCAAGATTCAGAATTATGTCCAGTTTGCGTTTTCGACAGTTCTGAGCAGCAACTTTATTTTTCCCTCTTCTTCTGATATCACGGATGAGTGACACTTGTAAATCTGTCAGGTAGTGCCTGCTTAGCATGTTGTTGAAAGAATCAACGGGCATACGGACAATTTCATCTACAGAAAAAGGGATATGCAGAGCCTTAGCACGTCGCTCATCACGGCTTAAGTTTCTGTCTGTGTCATTGAGGTACTTACTTATTTTCTGTGACTTCCCATGCCATGAAAAAGATCCAGAAGTGGACTCTAGGGCACTTGGCTGTAGGTGGTAAGTGTGGTTATGATAAATGTGTTGAAATGCAAGGTCCCCACAAAAACCAGAATCACTCCTATGGTCCATGTGACAAAGCTTACTGGGCTCTGGGTAGTACCCTCCTACAGCTCCTTCCAAGTCATGGTGGGAAAGAGATTCAAGGTCACTACTACAACCTGCACCACCTTCACACACAGACCGAGAGGAATTAGACTTGGTGACAGAGGTACTATTGTGGCTTGAATTTAAAGAAAGCCCAGAATCTGAATCGGGTTTTTCAAAAAGGTGAGACACTTCCATTGGATCAAAACCTTCTGTGGCCAAAGACATTAAACTTATGTCATCAAATATGTTTATATCGAGGTCATGTAGAAGATCTTGACTTGTTACATTCCTCATCTGACTGCCAACAAGGGGAAGAAATCCTGTCAGATTAGTTCCAGGAAGGGTCTGTTCAGGAGTGGTAGTATGAGAATTTAACTGCAGAAATGATTCTTGTGGTGAAGTCCTTGCTACTGGTTCTCTTCTGAATGTATTGTCAGGACACAGCAACATGGCCTCATGGAGATTCACATCGTGACTTATAGCTTGGCTAAAGTTTACATTATGTGTTGAATTTATGCCATAATTGATACTTCCCGTAAAAGTATTTCCAAGGGAGATGCCCTGAAAAGGGAAAAAAAGCACTTTAAATACACCACCTTATTTCAGCAGCAGTTCTAGTAACTTAATAGAGCATTCTTTCCTCTTGTCAATTCCTCTATACAGTTACCTAAGAATCAATCACTTTTACTAAATCTAGACAAATAAAATACACAATGTGAGCCCAAATCTGAATGATGCTGTATTTGGGGAAAGATTTTTTTGCATATACTGGAAACTTAGTGTGATTCAGTTAATATTTAAGTTGGTCTTGCTATTCTAATCTTACTGTAACTTGCTGCTTTATAGATGTAAACAACCTAGCTGTTAGCTTTGAATCCCCATTGAAGTAGTCTCTGGGCAAGGTGGGTGGATCTTCTGGGTGGTGGTTTTGTTTTTTTTTTTTTAAATCAGACCAGCATAGTAGAGTATGATCAAGACATAAATGGTAAAAAATAATCTACCTTAGTTTCTCAAATGTTTACTGTTTTATCAACAGCACGAGCAGGGGAGGAGGGACAGAAGGAGAGGGAGAAGCAGGCTCAGGGAGCCTGATGCGGGGCTCGATCCCAGGATCCTGGGATCGTGACCTGAGCCCAAGGCAGAGGCTTAGCGGACTGAGCTACCCAGGTGCCCTTATTTACTGTAGTTCTGATTCAGTGTATCCTAAATTTAACTATATCCTTGTGATCATGGAGGAGGAACAGTATACATATTTGGTTAATTCTCTAAAATTGAAGTAGTTCTATAAAAATCCTAAATCTGTGCACTTACATAATGCAGTACTGTTAACAAGTATTACTCTCATAAACTGTGTCATCCCATTAAAGAGGTTAAATGTATTCACAATTAGTGCAGATTTTCCTACAAGGTAAAAGCCAAGGTTCCAATTACCTCCAGTGAATTTTCAGGCTGTGATGAAAGCATCTGAAATAAGTCTTCCAGAGAGAAAGCTGTTTCTGTCCCATTTAGAGATCTCTAGAAAAAAATGTAAGGTGCACCATTAAGTTAAAAGGCAGAGGAGGTTGCTTGGGGCTTTAGGCTTAATCTTGAAAGGATAACCAGGTCGTCTCCATTCCGGATTTTTTTTATCCCTATTTTGGAATTTCTACGTTCCTCTTTTCAGTATCTCCCCCCTCCCCCATTCTTGCCCTATAACCATCTTTCATATTTTTGGCTAGTATTCTTCGTTCCACCTTATTTTTACCATGGTTAATGTTAAATACGTAGATTTACCAAAATGTGCCAGTTTCACTCATTATTGCTTCATCCCAGCCTTCAGGTTTGTTTCTTACTGAAGTAACTCCTTTGACAGCTCTTTTTAGAGAGGCTCCACCAGTGGTAAACTCAGTTTTTATTATCTGGGAGTTATTTTGCTTTCATGCTTAAAACAGTGATTTGGTAAAATGATCAAGTTTAATGTTTTCCCTTTGTGCTTTGCACTAAGGCATGTATTGCTACCGATGTCAGTCATTTTATAGCCAATTTTTTTTCCAGTAATTTTAAAGGTTTTTTTCTTTGTAGTCTTTGTTGTCCTATTTCACTTTGATGTATTGGACTTAATTTGTTTTTATTTATTCTGCTTGGGACTCTGTACTCCTTTAATCTGAGTCCTAAAATGACTGAATTTTCAAAATACTTTGCCATAAACACTGAAGACTGCTTCACCTTCATACTTTCTAGTCTTTTCTGGGACTCCTATTAGAAATAACTTAGATTTTCTCATTTTGTCTTAATTTTTCTTTTATATTAAGGGTGAGCTCATCTTTGTTGGTAACTGTTTCTGTAGGAATCCTACATACCAAGGGTTACCCGCCAACTATAAAAACAATTTTTTCTCTGCAAGGACCAACCAGTTTTTGTATCATTTTGTAGACCTTGCGTTTTTGGCTCAGGATTCCTGATAGTAATGGTAGTGTGTATTCAGACTCTAAAACGTTGGGCTCATTTGGGGTTCTGATCTCTAAGGATGGATAGACTGCTTCCTTGCTCTTGTCTCCTAGGTGGTGGCTAGTATTGTCCTAGTCCCATCTCCTGAAGAGTCTTTATAAATTCTGAGCTTTAAGTGGGGAATTTAGGTACCCCCAGGTATGGGCTTGAGACCTCGTTCCTCATCTGTTCAACCCCAGTCTCTGTCATGACATCTGTATCTAATTTTTCATTGGGGCTTCTTCAGTTTTGGGGTCTGATTATCTTTTAAATTCTGGATTTGAGGGGCGCCTGGGTGGCTCAGTCATTAAGTGTCTGCCTTTGGCTCAGGTCATGATCCCAAGACCCTGGGTCTTGAGACCGAGCCCTGCATCGGGGGCTCTGCTCAGCGGGAAGCCTGCTTCTCCCTCTCCCACTCTCCTTGCTTGGGTTCCCTCTGTTACTGTCGCTCTTCTGTCAAATAAATGAATGAAATCTTTAAAAAAAATATTCTGGATTTGAGTAGCCTCTTTGCTTCTAGTATCTACAGAGTTCCCTTTCTTGCTTTTGAGTTCTGCTATGCACTTAAAAAATATTTTTATCCAGGATTTCCGGTTTTGGTCTGTCATAGGGGTTTTATCTTTACATTTTAGTAAGCTCACATTCCTGACTCCCCTCCCTTAGCTTTGTACTTCAGGGTTTTCTTTTTTGAGGATTCAGACCGGTTAGACTTGTTTTAAGTGTATATTTGGTTTCCGTTTCCACCAAATACCATGTTTTTAAGGCCCATAGTACAACAAATACAAGGCTTTCCGTGTCTATGGATGCTATAGGACCATCTAAGCTGAAGTGGTTGGATAAGATTTTTTCATTTACTAGCAAATCGTATATACATTCTTAGTGGGCTGGAGACTTATTTGCTAACATGACTTAATTCAAAATGATTTTTTAATTTCTTAAATTTCAGAAGTGTTCTACGTCCATTAATGATCCCAAATTTGAGACATTAGTCCTGGCCCAACGATTGACCAAAATTTGCAGATGGTCACAAGTGTGTGAACAGGAGTATCAGCACAAATCTGGATTCCTGTGAAAATCCTAAATTGTGGGTAAATAAAACTATTTGCAGAAAGGAAAGCCTTAATATTTAGAACAGAGGTAAGGGTATGAAGCCCATTCTGCTTTGAGTTATGGACTTGATCCTTCAGGCTAGTCAGATACGTTTCATTAAACCTTTGTTCCCTTTTTCAGTGCCCCTGGAGATGGCAAACTGAGGAGCTAACTCCTACTTAGCCAGGCCCCTGGCTGGGTCCACAGGAGACACACATCTGAGATGGGAGGGACAGATGTGCCTTAGAGACTACTGAGCTCTCTTTCTTCCCAGATTCCCTTCTGCCCTGATGGGGATAACGGTTTCATGTTGCTATTGGTCTTGAGAGTTTTCCTTATTCTTTGATGTTTCCCTTAAACATGCCCTCACCTCTTAAGCAATGAAAACCCCTTACTTTTCAGAATCTCATCAGATGTGTTACATGCTTTCTAGTTGAGGGCCTTAACATCTGAAGTCCATGTGACAGAGTTCTTCTGTTTACTACACTTAAATTATAAAGAATAATTTTTTTGAGACATTAGCTCTTGCACAAAAATGGACAACTAAGCCATTCTTTCAGTTCATCCACGAGACATTCCATACATTAAGTGATTTTTTTTTTTTTACGATTTTATTAGACACAGCACAAGCAGGGGGAGTGGCAGGCAGACGGAGAGAAGCAGGCTCCCCGCTGAGCAAGGAGCTCCATGTGGGACCTGATCCTAGGACCCTGGGATCATGACCTGAGCTGAAGGCAGATGCTTAACCAACTGAGCCACCCAGGTGCCCCGTTAATGGTAATTTAGATTGCCAAGAAATGGTCAGTCTTTCTCTTTTTTTAAGTCAGATTCTTAGAATTTTTCCTAAAACTTTGTGTTAAATATAAACATATGGTTCCCCGTCTGGGGCAAGTCACTGGCTGAGAGAGCCATCAGGGCAAGACCTGCAAGGGTGCACCTTTGGAAGTGCCAAGTGAGTTAAGGGTCTGGAACCTCCAGGCCTGTCTTCAGAGTGGACAGGGATGTCTGCAGGGCTGAGTAAAAACCAGAGTAGAAGGAAGGGAAAGTACAGGCTGCAGGAAGAATCCATCTCAGCCTGGCCTCTGGAATTCATCTTTCTATAATAATGCATCTTACAGCCAAGGGGTATGGTTAGAGTAGCCAAGGGGGCTGTCCCTCTGGACCTGGCCAGAAGTACAAAGTGGGCTCCTGAGTTCAGAATGGCCTACCTCTCAGGAGACTGAGTGAGGGTTTGAGCCCAAGACCTACCTAGCTGGTTTTGAGGAATGATTTGCCTTCAAGTTATTCTGCCTCACTATCCCAGACCTACCTAGCCAGCTTGGGTGCCTCTCCAGAGGATTGGTTGAGGATTCTTGGGTTTACCATGCCAGTCACCTCTTTAACCCTTGCCATGGCAAACACAAAACCTAGCAACTTCCTGGGGGGGGGGGGGTGTAATACACTCTCCCACGCACACACACAATCTTGAGTTTAACCAGAGATAAACTAAGTCTATGGGCTGATTTCCTTTGTAAATCAACCACTTCCACAACTATAAAAAAATACGTATTTTCATATATCTGATTTGCTTATAGTAGGGCACTTAATGGAAGATTCATTACCAACACACATTGTCAAAGCCATAAAGTCTAACTTACAGGGGCATGTCGGTGGCTCAGTCGGTTAAGCATCTGCCTTAGGCGCGGGTCATGATCCTGGGGTCCTGGGATCTAGCCCCTCAAGGTCATCGTCATTGAACTCCCTGCTCACCGGAGTCTGCACGTCCCTCTCCCCCTGCCCCTCGCCATCACTCGTGTGTACTCGTTCTAATAAAATCTAAAAAAAAAATCTACAGCCAAAATGGTAAGGCTGAGCTACTCTGATAACACTTACCTCATTTCTAGGTTCAGTGGTCTTTTCTGCCTCCCAGTCAGGTTTATCTGCTATTTTACTTTCATCCTCATTCTTCTGTGGTAGTGATTTTTCTTGGGCTGAAACTCTTTGCTCATTTTCCACATTCTGGGAGCTGTGATCCACAGCTTCATGCCTCTCTCTTAGTACTTCATTCTCCTATAAAAGTACCCAAAAATATGCTAAGCAGAAATCCATATTTCACCAAATAAGTCAAACAACCTTTAAAACTGCATTGTACTTACTGCTCAGTGATACAAAAACCACAAGTGAAAAGCTAAGACTGGCATTGCATATTTCAGTATTAAACTTTTTAATCCTGAAAAAGCCCGAGAACTCAGACACAGTTGTAATCTGCATAATTTAAATTCTATGCATTTATAAAGCCCTGGAGTTTAAAATACTTACAAATTTGATTAGATTTAGAAATCAGTTTTGCCAACAGGCAGTTTTATTTACTTAGTTTTCTGTTTAAAAGATCAGCTAAGCTGGAAGCAAACAGTGATCAAATATATACAGAAGAGCCTGGAAAAGTAGTATTACAAGGTATTGTGGTTCTCTCTGAAAGGTGGAATAGGGAAGTGTGAGAGAAAAATTTTTATACTTTATACATTTCTGTACTGTTCGGATATTTTACAACAAATGTTATTTCTTTTAAAGTCAGGAAAAGTATATTTTTATTTTGAAAAAATAGAAGTTAATAAAGCTTTAGAGACTAGCATCTCCATAGATATTTTAAACTATGCTTACCTACCCAGATGAGTCCTTTTTAACTGGAGTTAACCATTAAGAGTTAACCATTAACATACACTGTGTATACTGATACTTTTAATTATATTAAAAGCGCAGTTTTTCCCCCTCTAACATAACATCAAAGCCTCTCAAACTCTTTCAAAAGATCTATTTTTAATTTTTCTCTTTCAGAACAGCATAGCACACTGGACTGAACTCAAGGACAGCAGCACCACCCCCACACTCTAAAGCAGAGAAATGCATATAAAAAACAAGCACTTAAAAACACATGAAGTCAAAGAAATGTAAAATCTACAGATGCCAGAAGCGAGGAGATAAAACGAGCAGAAAAAGGAAACTGACGTGCTAGCGGCCCGCTTGGTTTTACTTGCTTCTCTGTTCACTGTACTTAACCTGATGCGGTGTTGGTCTTGTTCCTTTCTCAGCCAGTCTCTCTGCACAACCCTGCTCTTGTGCTCAAGGATGCTGTCTTCTGCATCCAGTGTTTCTTGTCTGGATACTCCCACCAGTCTGCTAACCTAAAATACCTCTCATCTTTAAAAATCTATCCCTTGGTGTCCCATATTACTCTCTAGATCCCATTTCATTTTTCTGGTCCTTTTAGAGCATAATCCTCCAAAGAGTCATCTGGACTCTGCATTCTCTCTTGAACCTACTCCAGTGGGAATTTTGAAACATCTCAACAGGATCTTCCCAAGTTGACAGTTTGCCACGCTCACCTTACTAGACCCATCAGCAACACTTCCCTTCCTTACTCCCTCCTCCTGGAAACAGTTTTTTTTACCTGGCATCCAGGTACCTTCTCTATTATCCTTCCTCACCAACTACTCTTTGGATGATTCTTCTGCTCAGCCTCAGGCACACCAGGCACTCTCCCACCTTTCAGCTTGTGTTTGCTGTTCCTTCTGCTTGTAGGGCTCTCACTCTGTTCACATCCCCAGCCCCAGCCCCATGACTTTGAAGCTTAACGTCTCTATTCAAATATTACCATCTTACTTTTATTATAAAAAAAAAGCCATCTCTCCCATCAATGTCCCTTGCTTTTTCTCATAGCATTTAGCACCAGCCTAATGTATTTGTCATCTATCCCGCTAGAATGCTAGTTTCTTGAGGGTAGAGGCTCTGTTTAGTTCCTGCATGCACACTGCCTACCCCACAACCTGCCACATGGTAGACCCTTACTAGGTATACTTGTTGAATAGATGAACTCCCAGACACAGCATCTGAAGACTTTTGGCAGGGATTTACTTCCAGTGGGTGAGCTGCCTTTGTCTTGCTCTTTCCTGCAATTACAGTTCTGATTCCTATCTAAAATTGGGGAAAGGAAGAAGTGACTGGTCATCAGTCTTTCAATGTCTATATTTTGCCAAGGCAGGGTTTCTTTTGTTAAGCCTCAAGATAATCAAATCCAAAATTCTGGAATCCTGAGGCAGCTAACTTTGTTTATAAATTTGCTGTCAGTGGGCACAGGAGCTTCTAAACTAAATTGCATGATCTATTTTAGAGCCATGAAGCAAGGTACCTTTCATTAATGTGTAGTATGTGAGTTAATACAACATATGAACTTGCAAAAATGAGACTATGTTATGTCATGTTACACAAACGAAACAAAGGGAACAGGTAGCTAATAATACAGGCCTGGATAAAGCCCATAAGGAAACCAAGCAAACTTTAGTTTGGGAAGGAAGCTTTTTTTATTTTTTTTGGAGGGGAAACTTTGAGAGTTTGGTAACAGCCTGCCTAAATGCTCTGGAAGAGACCAACTGAATGTAGAGAAATTCTGTATGAGCACTACTTACAAGAAGCAGAAATTGGGTTAAAAAATCATACCTTAAATAATAACCCATTAAACAAAATGAGTTAAATAGAATAATCAATGAGTTCATTTGAATATAAACAAGTAAATGAGGGAAAAAATTTCTTACAGTAGAATGCAACTAATGAATACAGGAGAATGATGGGGTTAGAAAATCATCAATGGATGCTAAAACTAGGGAGTAAAGTTTGATGAGAAACATTTAAATAGTGAAACTACAGGAGAAATATGGCGAACATCACCTCAAGTGGTAAAATCCGTCATCACAAATAAACCAACGTCATATGCCTCTTATTCCTGCCCAGAATTCATAATCTCAACTCAATCACGAGGCAACATCAAAAATAAATGAAAAATGGGGCCATTTTACAAAACAACTGATTGATGCTCTTCCAAAATCTAGGTCAAGAAATCCAAGGCTGAGGAACTTTTCCAGATTAAAAGTGAGCAGGGCGCCTGGTTGGCTAAGTTGGTTAAGCATCTGCCTTGGGCTCAGGTCATGATGCCAGGGTCCTGGGATGGAGCCCCATGTCAGGTTCCCTGCTCAGTGGGGAGTCTGCTTCTCTCTCTCCCTCTACCTTGTCCTCCTTGCTCTTGCTCTATCTCTCTCAAATATATAAATAAATAAAGTGACTGAGAGACTTGGCACATAATGTGTGATCCTGGGTTAGATGCTGATCTAGGAGGAAAAAGTATTATATAGGACATTTCTGGGACAATAGATAAAATGTGAATATGGATGGATTATATAATAGTCTTAGATTTATGTTAGTTTCCTGATTTTGATAATTTTGATAAATATGCACTTAAGTATTTGGATATTGAGGGACAAAATGGCTTCAATTCACTCTTACATGTTTCCCAACAAAAAGAATTATGTATAGATGGATAGCTAGCTATAATTACAAAATAGAGAAGTCAGATGGGACAAAATGCAAAACAGGTAACTCTCTCTCTCTCTCTATATATATATATAGATTTTCTATATATATAACTCTATATAACTATATATAAAGGATATATACTATTCTTGCAACTTTTTTAAAGTTTGAAATTATATCTCACTAATGAGTTGCCCTAAAAATCTATACATGGCAAAATCACTTTAGTCAAAGCAATAGCAAAAGGTTGACCCAGAATTATTCTTCCATTAAATCTGTTAATCTGTATTTTCTCCTCAAAGTGTACAGTAGTCCTATCAATTGCTTTATTATTTTCACCTCTTCTGACATTAAAATTTCAGATTTCATTTTCTTGCCTAATTGCTTTGGTTATGCTTTCAGAATAATAATAATAATAATGGTGATACCCGATTCAAAGAAAACACTACTGGTGTGTCTACTCTTGATACCTTACAACACTACTTCATTCGACACTAGATGTGTGTGTGTTTCCACACACCGAGCAATTGTGCAACACAGCTGGGCGTCCTATAACTTAATTCTGACGCTACCTACCTGAAGATTGCATCAGATCCCACAGGTTAAGGGCTTAGTATCACAAGACTGCCCACACACCTCCCTTCAGATGCCAAGTGCAAGTCCAGGTTGTCACCTGTGCTTCAGAACAACTGGCTATAAATTGGAAGTTCCCACGACCCTCTCCCTTGGGTTTAATTTGCTTGAGTGGCTCACAGATCTCAAGAAAAAATCTTATTTGTTTTATTATATTATAATTATTTCTGTTTTATTATAGAAGACTGTAACTCTGGAACAACCAGGTGCACAGAGCAAGTTCTGTGCGAAGGGGCACAGAGGTTCCACACACAGGGCATGCCACTCTTGCAGTACCTCCACGTGTTCGCCAGCTTGGAAGGTCTCTGAACCCTATCCCTCAGGGTTTTATGGATGCTTCATCATGTAGGCATGATTGAATAAATCATCAACTCAATCTCCAGTTGCTCTTGCTTCCCCAGAGGTCTGAGAGGTAGGAGCTGAAAGTTCCAACCGTCTAATCATCTGGCTGATTCCCCTGGCACCCTACCTTTAGGGACTTTCCAAAAGTCACCTCATTAACATAAATCAAGAGTGGTTGCAAGGGGCTTGTTACAAATAACAAGACACTCCTTTTACCTTTATGGTTCTGGAGATATTTTAAGAACTGAAGACAAAAGACCAAATAGTATATAGCAAAAGATGCTCCCACTGCTCTTAACTTTTAGGAAACCAACAGTTTTGGGAGCTCTGGGCCAGAAAGGGGGATGACGACGGAATACACCTTTAAATCAGATAATCATACCTGACACATTCTCATCCTGCTCATGACCTCAATGGGAATGCTTTTAATGGTTCACCAATAAGGGTAACATATGGACTTTGATTTGAGATTCAACAATTTTTTTAGTCACTCATTCAATTAATACATACTGAGTGCCAAACACTACACTAGATGCTGGGAATACAACAGTGAAAAAATACATTCAGTTTGTCCCTTCAGAGCTTTCATTTAAAGGGAGGGAGCCAGAAATACAAGTGAACTAACAAAATAACTGCAAGCGATGGCAAGTGAAAGAGATCTCCTTTAGAGCATGGCCAGGGAAGGGCTCTCAGGAGAGGTGATACTTGAGCTGAGATCTGAAGAAACAGAAAGA